ACCATCTTACACGGACATTATCATACATAATTCCTCCACACACCCTTACCAGCATAAAGTTGCTGCATTGAATAGTATGCTTCATATACTAATGAATTTTATATTCCACTGTCTGAGAGTAATTTCCAGAGGGAGCTGAGTTTGATCAAATAAATCGCGGTTAACAACGGTTATAAGGTAGATATTATAGACTCCATTCTTTCTAAAAAACTACAAAAGCAAGACATGAACCTGGTCTACCCAAATTCAAGATGCGATAACGTCAGTTGTAGGACATTGTTATATTTGGGTGAACCAACCAATAATATTGCCCGTTTTTTGAGGAAAGAATACGTAAACGTAGCTTACAGAACGAATAATAGTATAAGTGAATTTATTAAAAACAATAAAGACAAAACTTCGGTGTCGGATAGGTTAGGAGTATATAAGCTGGCTTGTGGCTCTTGCCCAAAACTGTATATTGGCCAAACAGAGAGACAATTTTTCCAGAATTAAAGAGCATAGAAGTTGTTTTGTGAATAGAAAGGAAAATTTCACATTTACCACCTTTTAGCAGAAGAACATAAGTTCATTTATGAATACGATGTGTTACATTTAGAAGGGAAAAGTTTGAAAGTCAAGCTTCTAGAATGTTTAGAAATCAATAGATTCAGATTACTGAATGAATAATTAGAATTGAATAACTCTCCGTTACTCATTATTTTTTCAAATGTGGAAACTGGGATATCTGTCTGTTTTAAAATCTGTTTTAAAATCTGTTTTTCCGTTAACCAGCTGTCGCACCCCTACGAACGACAACCCTCAGAAGTCGAAACTTGTGCGAGCTGAGGATTAACGAGGTCTTGCCTTTTAACGTGTGATTCCTAACACGGGTTAGGTTAGGTTAGGTATGAGCTCAGGTAATTCATTTCATTACTAACTTAGGTGAAAATCAGGTACTTGAAATGTAGGTACTTCAAATTGTAGAATAAGGTATATTTAGCATTGAATATGTAGAATTAGTTAGTAAAGACACGTCTGAAGGAGCCATTGTATGGCGAAACACGTGTTGCGTTTTCGTAAAATCGTTTAGTGAAAATCTCACAATAAAGTGTTTTTTAAATACGTTACATCATAATCATTTTTTTTTACAACAAAACTGTTAAACACATTTTTTATACTTATTTTACTTCAGAACTTATTCAAACCTTATTTTCAGCCAAACCTAATACGCTGACAAATGAGTTATGGGAAAAATTTATTGTGTTCATTCAGTTATCGAGCTGCGTTTGCCTTTCTACATCTGTATATTTCTATTTTGGGATAATGGAAGACAAAAGTACCCAAAGAAGACACAATTGTCATACATTGTAGTACATAATTTTTGTGAACGTGTTCCTATGAGATAGATGGAATGAATGTGAAGGATCCATCAAGTATTAGGTTTGTTCTGGTTCTGCGAAGTTCAGGTTCTAAGACGTCAGGATCATGCGCAGTTGATATAGAGCGTTCTGGTTTATTGAGAATAAATTCGGATTGATGAATCCTCTGTTCTGGTTTCGACTGTGGAATGATCCTAAAAACTGTTTTGAACCGTCCCGAATCGTTATTGCCCTCGAAGCTGAACTGTTGAGAACTGTTCCCGTTGCTCATGCGCATTCATGTGGAAATTTGTTTGGGCTATTTACGATGTTTTTAATTTATATGATTTGGACATGATGAACATATGAATGGACATGATTAACAGTATTTTCTCGTCTTCATCTCTTCATATATACGATAGGTGGTCTCCTCAAAATGCATTCTGTTTTAACCGAGGGTCCGAGATTATTTCGGACTGTTTGAGATTTTTTGTTTGTACCCATCATGTCTTGCGCAGTTTCCAAACAGTTTCGGATGGTAGAACCAGAACAAACCTATTGTGACTCATTCAGCATGTAACCAACCCCTACGCTCTTTCTGTTTCTTAGTCATTGCCAATTCTTAGTCATTCATTAAATAAACATTAATCTTATCAAATATTATTATAACACTTACTTGTTCTACACGGCGAATATTCTTCAAAAGTATCTAATGCTCCATTAGCAACAAAGCATGTTCCAACTGGATCTACTCTGTTGAGATATCGGGTGAACCAGACGTATCTTGGTGCACAAGCCTGAAAAAAAAATTTTATAATGCACAAAATGAATATTTCGTTCAGAAGAAAAGTGTCCACGATTGTATATTGAGAAGCTATGAAATGAAGAGACGAATTGGCTCTACTGTACGATAACGGTCATCTTGTTGATGGACGTTGTCAAATAAGTTGTCATTTATTCAGTCTGTTTTCCCAAATCACCATAAACGGATATAACATTCAACAACACGTGCAAATAATAAAATTGTTTTATCAAAATGGCTGTTCTGTACGGTCGCCACCAATGTGGCGGATGAATTTGAGTCCACTGATTCCGTAAACGATCTACCAACACCCGTAGATGAAACGCATGATCCACAGTCTCACCAGCACCCCGATGTCCACAGAGAATTTTGACAAAGAATAAAATTTGATAAAACATAATTGCAGAACAGAACAACTCCAACCCGATCATGATTCATCACATCCTGGAGAAAAAACTTTTCAGACAGGCCAAAAACCAAGCGAACCTCCACATTAAAAATGAAGCTTATACCTACAAAACACATGCATATCATCGTCAGATTAAATAAAAAGACTGCAGACAAAATAGAACATCAATATCCGTAGCCTGGTAGGTTAAATGGGGTGGGTCTATTCGACCTGCACCGCAACCCGCAAGGGTTTATTGTAGTTCACACCTATAAACCTAGCTTTCTAACGAAACCGATTAGTTTGTATGCTGAGTGATCTTTCAGGTCAGATGTAAGAGTACGGATCTGCCGAACTCTATAAACCTGATTCGGTTCCCAGTGGGGTAGGCACGAAGTATGTTATCTGCTGTTTCATCATTTTCCAGACAGAGGCGATACACATTGTCTTCCTACAGTCCGAGTCTCTATATATTATGATGATTGAAATGACAGTGATCTATAAGAAGGCCTGTTAGACATCGTAGTTCATCCCTTCTGTAGTCCAACAACTGTTTGTTAGCAAACTTCGAAGGGTGAATAAACGCTTTGGAGTAAGCCAATTCTGGAAGATTCTGTCAGAAGTCCATACATCTTCTTGCCATCTAGGTATTCAATGTTTGTTTGGCAAATCCTAAAGCGATGTCAATGACAGGTTCTGGTCCGATGAAGCTGCTTGAAGCACACTTCTTTGCAACAACAGCAGCTTCATTGCCTTCCACGCCAGTATGGCCAGGAATCCAGACCAGAAACAATCTGTTAAGTCTTCCTATCGAGAAGAGTTATTTTGGTTATGTTCTACCAATTTAGACGTTGCTCGGTAGGAGCCAAGACCAAGACGCCGCTTGACCGTCCGAGAATATTTTTATTGACTTGTGCATGAGGTTGGATTCTTCCAATCTCTCCGCACATGATTCAAATCCGTAACTTTTCATTTAAAATACAGTCGCATAGGTTCCTAGGCAGATTGATATTTCTGTCCTGGGCCTGCGGCTAAAAACACCTGAATCAGAACCGAAAGGTGTTTTTGATCCATCTGTGAACCAACAACTATCTGCTCTTGATATTTCCTTCTCCCGGAGGACTGGTAACTCTTGGACTAGATGTCCAAAGAACAAGTCAAAAACTGACAATGATAACAAATCAGGGGTCTACAAACTACAATAAATATTTATTCTTCTGTGTCGGGGTATATACTAATCGATGGAGTATTTTGTATCCTATACATTGATGCTGTTCTTTTTTTCCAACCTCTTTTCCGCTTATCATTAAATTATTTCGTGAGGCGATTTTTGGTCAATTTCTCTCCACGATTGAAATTGAACCAAAGCGCTGCCGAAACAGACAAAAAAAAATTAACCAGTTATTTGGCAATGATGTTATTAAAAAGTAAACAGCCCAAAAAATTAAACAGGCATTTGGAAATGATAGTTTCAATGAATGCATTATTCGACGTCGGTTTGCGACATATCGTTCCAGAGATTTAAGGACCCTGGTGGAGACTGACCTATCACAAACGGTGCGTGGGATGGTGGAAAAACTAGGCGTCAGGTCCCATGTGGTTTTTTATGATTTAAAATGCATTGGAATGGTCAAGAAGCTTGAAAATTGGGTACCTCACGATTTAAATGATCGACATAAATTGTCACATAGATGTGGATTTTGGGCTTGCGGCATCATTAGTCCATATTTCTTTGGCCCGGCCATCACTGTCAACGGCGAGCAATATAGGTCAATGATTACCATCTTGTTTTGCCCTGAACGACATGTGGTTTCTATAGGACTGCACTACGTACCACACAGCTCGTGCCACATTGGATAATCCGCACAAGCGATTTTAGGGCATGGTCATCTCACGTGGAGGTGACCATCGAGTTCGTGCGATTTGACCCCGTTAGACTGTTTTTTGTGGAGTTTTCTCAAGTCGCAGGTGTATGCAAATAAGCCACAAACCACAGCGGTCCTCAAAGCTAACATAACTAATGCCATCGGTCAAATTCAGTCAAATTTATGCGCAAGAGTCATGGAAAATTGGACGTTTTGGATGCTCTCCATCTAGAGAAACCGTGGCGTACATATGTGATGATGATATTTTGATTGCTATCAAAGAAATGAAATCTAATGCTTCAAGTATTGACAATATAAATATCAAGATGATTTATTTAGTGATACCACACTGTATTGATAAAGTTAAACATATTTTTAACGAGTTCTTCTGACAGGGTATCTTCCAGATGTTTGTAAGGTTGCTAATACTATTCCAGTCTGGGTTCCGCAAAAACACGGAACACAGACTGCCCTCTTGAAAGTAATCGACGATCTTGCGAGATTCAGAGATCAATAAAAGGTCACCATTTTAGTACTGCTTGATCAAAGTGAAGCTTTCGATTTAGTTAATTTCGATTTACTCATCAGCAAGCTCATGTTCATAGGATTCGATCACATTTCTTTTAAATGAATGACCAGCTACCTCACAGGTCGATCACAGAGGGTCAAACTAGATGATTGCTCATGGTCATCCCTAAAAGAAACAATCTCAGGTGTACTGCAGGGAAGTATTTTAGGACCCTTGATGTTTTCAGAGTTCATTTTCAATCACCCCACTTTCTTATCACATGGTCAAGTACATCTGTACGCAGATGATATACAGTTATATTTGTCTTCTCATAACACCGATACAGTAAGTTGCGTGGCCAATATTAACACAGATTTGCACATAACATTCCTATACTCGGAAAATCATGTACTGAAAATCAATCCAAATAAAACTTTGGCCATATGCATAGGGTATTAAAGACAAATAGTAGAAACTCAGTGTTACTTTAAGCTCGCTCTCGATAACGCAGACATTGACTGGGTAGACAGTGCTAAAAATCTTGGCGTAACCATAGATAGCTCTTTGTATTTCCATGAACATGTGACAAAAATTTCCAAAGTATCATTCTTCAAACTCAAATCGCTATATAAATTCAAGTATCAGTTAAGTTAAAACTCTTATTTACCCCCATATCGAGTATTGTTGATTGGTGTATTACAATTTTTTGCCGCAATATAACAAGCAGAAGTTACAACGTATACAAAATGCTTGCATACGATTCGTATGGTGTATACCATATTGTGAACATGTCACACCATTTTTGTTAAAAATGAAGGAGCTGAATGTGAGGTACAAAGTTCAATTTTTGATACAAATTTTTTGTTTAAGTTGCTTCAAACTGAAACACCTAGTTATTTATATAGTTTATTAAGCAGGTATTCGGTCAATTTGAGAATTGGCACCATACTTTCAAATTTCAAGGATGTTTTTCTTATATATCCCCTTCTTATCTGAATGAAATTTCACCCCTTTTGAATCATACTATTCATCAATTTAAAAAAGAAATAAAATCACAGATGCTTATTGCTCACTGCTAATTTAAAATTCAATTTATGGTATGAAACTGTTAAATTGACCAAAATAGTGTTAAGAATATTAAGAGTTATTAGCAACTATATGATCTATTATTTTTTTCTTTTCTAGAGCATTGTTGTGATAGTAAATAAGTATTTTTATAATCATTTTCTTACACTCACTGTATAATTTTTGGGAGGGGTGGAAGAT